AAAAGATCTCCGGGATAAAGTTGTGGACAGACACAAGTCAGGAGATGGATACAAAAAAACCAAACAAAGGCTTTATCAATGCCTAGAAGCACAGTGAAATCTATTATTAAGAAGTGGAAGGTATTTGGTACAACACAGACCCTCCCTGGATCAGGACGTCGCTTCAAACTGGATGAAAGAGCCAGGAGGAAACTGCTCAGAGAGGCGACCAAGAGGCCTACAGCAACTCTGAAGCAGTTGCAGGAATTTATGACAAAGAGTGGTCATTGTGTGCATGTGACAACAATATCACAAATTCTCCACAAATGTGGATTGTATTGGAGGGTTGCAAGAAAAAAGCCACTCCTCAAGAAAGGCCACATGCAGTCACGACTGAGCTTTGCCAAAACGCACCTTGAAGATTCTGAGGCAGATGAGACTAAAATTGAATTATTTGGCCTCAACACCAAACTATATGTCTGGTGGAAATCTAATACAGCTCACCATCCAAATAACAGCATTCCTACAGTAAAGCATGGAGGTGGTGATATACAGTTATGGGGGAGTTTCTCTGCAGCAGGGACTGGAGCTCTTGTCAGGATAGAATGAAAAATGGATGGGGCAAAATACTGTCAAATTCTTGAGGAAGATCTGCTGCCCTCTGCAAGAAAGTTGTCAGTGGGAAGAAGGTTTACCTTCCAACATGACAATGACCCAAAGCACACAGCAAAAAAAGGAGAAAAAGGTGAATGTCCTTGCATGGCCCAGTCAGAGCCTAGACTTAAACCCCATTGAAAATCTGTGGAATGACTTGAAGACTGCAGTCCACAAATGGTCACCTTCAAATTTAACAGAACTTGAGCACTTCTGCAAAGAAGAGTGGACAAATATTGCAAAGTCTAGATGTGCAAAGTTAGTAGAGACAAGTCCCAACAGACTAAAGGCTCTAATTAAAGCAAAAGGTGGTTCAACAAAATACTGACACAAGGGGTTGATCCTTTTTCCAACTCAGTGATTGATGATTTAATTTTTGTAGGTTTTTTTTTTTTTCAGACATGTTGGAGTTATATCTTTCACTTGGATGTTATAAGTTGCACTGAGTAAATACAGCTGGATAAAGCAAAAACTGTGTTCGTCTTTATTTCAGGCTGCAAAGCAGCAAAATGTGATTATTTTAAAGGGGGGTGATTCTTTTCTCTAACCACTGTAGAGAATCTCCTGTCAACATTTAACAAGCTTGGTTATTCGCTTTTACTGAACAACCCACGGTCAAGCCACAGGGGCGCTCACAAACACACCAACACTCAGCCGGCATAAAGAGTTTCATCCACAAATGCACCTGGAAGATCCTCGGAAATGCTTTTAATGCACATTGATGTCTAATACACTTCACTGCCAGAGCCTCTTGTGTGCAGGCCTGACCCCATAAACACAGACCTGTCTGAAGAGAGTTGGGTGAACACATTAAACTGGTTGCAAGCAAAGTGCACATGCACTCCGCTTCCCAGCATCCTTTAATCATCGGCTGGGCCATGCATAAGAGGAAAGAGGTCACAACAGTGCTGTCTATTTAAGACCTATTGGGAATTTTAATGAGAAAGTGTGTTTTTGATGATGGACGGCATCTTTTCATTTAGCTGAGTGCAGGCCCACTGCTTTTATCCTGGTTTGTTATGTAGTTGGCTATACTCTCTCTACTTGAAGCGACCACAGGGTCACGCTGTATCTCTTCTCTGCGGTGGTACATCAGTACAAATCCTCCTCTAGGCCCTATTGGATCCGCGGTTCGATGGGATGGATGGTCACTAATGGACCTGGATACAGACCAGGCAACAAAAGCACAAAGCCTCTCTCCTATTATAGAGCTCGCGCTCTCTCGCAGTCTTGCGCCCTGTTGCACGCGCCTCGCTTTGACATCGCCGTTGCGCGGAGAGCGCGGTTGCTAGGCAACGGATGAAAGCCGAAATCCCTGGGTAACTCGCCGCTTACTGACCCGACCTGCCTCCCATCCCTGCTCGCTGGCTTATTAACTTTATTTCATTAGGAAGGGGGAAAAAAAGAGTATCTCATTTAAACGAACATTATAGCGATATAACTCGGCTGCGATTTATAGCATTGCATTACATATTAAAAAAGAGGATGCTGTGTATGCAAGATATATGAACGCAAGTATTTATGAAGGAGATGCATCATTCAGTGACGCCCTAAAAGAATAATGAACGAATGTATTTGAAAAACAAGCTACTGAGCGACTTCGATATTGATCAGATGCAAACAATGCATAATAATGCAGTGTGTTTAAGGAAATCATTGATCAAATAGCTCACTGTCTTTGCAATTACGTTGGTTTTTAGTTATTTTATAATAACAACAATAATAATAATAATAATTGATGTTGTTATTACAATATAACAAATCATTTTATATTAATAATATGTATAAATATAAGAAATATTTTACGTATAGGATATAGATGGCGTTTTAATTTTCATAATAATGATGATGATGATAATGATTTGTATTATATAAAATGTGTATCATTTATATAAATATTAAAATATGTATAAATAGAATAAATAGAATATATTTCATGTAGAATATAGAAGGCGTTGTTTTAATTTTCATAATAATAATAATAAATTATAGTTATAATAATTATATTAATAAGTTATTTATAGTAGTAGTACAGATTTTTATAAATATTTATATAATTTATATTAAAATAAATATTCTATCAAATAATAGGCTAATCGATTTTTGTTGTCGTTGTTGTTGTTTGCATGCAGATGGCGTTATTTTGTTAATAGGCCTAATATAAATTAATATAAGTATTTATGTAGCCTACGTTGTGTAACCACAAGTATTATGTAAAATAACTAATGAAATATAAATATTTTGAACAAATATTTGCAGTTTATTTTTATGTGCCAAACACTTTCTCGCGTAAAAATGTAAACGCCAAATCCTTGTTTGGCTTTCAGGGGGTATCACGGCACTTTTGTGCACATTCTTAATTGATTTCAGGAGGGTGTTACTTAGTATGTGTTGAGGAAGCATAAGAGAAAGAGGAGGAGGAGGAGAGAGAGAGGGACTGGAGAGGGTTGCATTGCATGAAGATCCGATGAAAGATAGCAGGCTATTGCAATAAGAGGGCAAGAGAGAGGGGTGGGGGCAGAATGACGCTGATTCGGGGCTATTGATCTCTCCCTCCCCTCTATATGGGGTCAGTAGTTTGATCAGAGCGCGCGCAGGATCACTCAGAAGAGCCACACACGCGCTTTTGTAAAATGAAGCGGTGCGTATAGAGCTATCCAACAGGACACTCATCACCAATCCGATCCCGTCTGTCTCTAACCTGATGACGGGAAATAATAAGATTATCCAGCAGGCCAGGAGAGCGACACGTTACATCTCGGGAGAAAAGTAACTGGTGTGGACTGACACATGATGGTGCGCTCGAGATCAACGGATCTGATCATGAATCCGTTCAGAATCTCCGCGCTGATGATGTTCCTCTTCGCATCTGTTCATATCTCGTGCCCATCGCAGTTCCCCAGTCCGCTCATGTAAGTACTTTAACGTTGTTGTCTGTGCAGAAGAGCGTCACAGCGTTTCAACTGTTGATTAAAATGCATTTTTTCTTTCTTTCATTCAGCCTCTGTGTGTCTGTTCGGACGTGCGTAAGTGTGATTGTAAGTTTCTGTGAGTGTGTAAATCGTGCTGGATGCACAATATACAAACTATGTATTTACTTGTGTACAGTTTCACTTGAATTTAACGCTATATCCCAAGTCTTCTGATTATGATCTTCTCCTCCAGTCAGTGATCTTGAGAGCCTGTGTGACTGAATCAGTGAGTCGGAGTTGAACTATGATTCGTAAAAGAATCAGTACAATTTGAGAGCTGGTTTAACCGATTGAAAAGAACTGGCTCAAACGAATGATTCATCCACTGCTCTTGTTCTTGAAATCTAATCACTGACTCAGTGATCTGTTCGCAATGGTTCTCCAGCAAACCGCTCTCTTTTAGATAATCGGTGAATAACGATATGATCTGTTAATCTCGTAAACGTATTGTGTGCACGTGTTTATCTTTGTACTGACACTAATCTTAAAGGTTAAGCCAGGTTAAAGCTTTTACCTCATGTGGTTTCCATTTCACTTTCACCTTATGTAATCTTTTCCCATGATTTAAGATGTTTCACTTTACAAATATCATTCAGCACTTGATATTTAAAGGGGTCATATGATGCGATTTCAAGTTTTCCTTTCTCTTTGGAGTGCTACAAGCTGATTGTGCATAGATAAGATCCCTGAAGTTGCAAAGACTAAAGTCTCAAAACCAAAGAGATATTCTTTATCAAAGTTAAGACTCTGCCACGCCCCCCTAAAACGGCTTGTTCTAACACGCCCCCACATATCTACCTCACTATGTGGAAATATTTGCATAATGCCGGCCAAATGTGCACACAAAGAAAGAAGGCGTGGTTTCAGTAACCGCAGTTAGTGTTGAAGCAGCGATGTCAGGGAGACGCTGTGTGTTTCTAGGCGAAAGCAAAAGCACTTTATTTGGCCTTCCGAAAGTAGATGCATTTAGGAATCTTTAAGATTACTTACAACAGAACAGCAATGCATTTTATGGACGACCGTTTCGTGAACCTAGGAGAGGAGGTAATTCTGACTTTGCTATGACAATCTGGCGCTTCTGAATCAGCTACTGTTTTGTTATTAGTTTAAGTATTTGCTATTGACTGTTCAAATGCGGAGTTTTGCGCATCGTGTGTGTGTGTGTGCGCGAGCGAGCGAGA